TTAACTGAACTAGCAGCTCTTGCTTTTCCTCAGAAAATAGTTAAAATTAACGGCACTCGTAGATCTCAAATAAAATGGTTTAACAGTGAACTGAAGCAGATTCGTGACCATTTACATTTTTTAACAGATTTGCATAAGTCTATAAATTCGGAAGAAACGAGGAAGGCAAGAAATATGCAACGTCAGTTATATCGCGATAAACTTAAATTAGCAAAAATAAGCTGTAATAGTCAATTCATTGATAATGCAAGCAATAAGCCTAAAGCGATGTGGCAAATAATTAATGAATCTCGCAACAAATTGAATAATGGAAAAACCTGTGATAATAACCAAGGCTGTGACATTTCCTGTGATAATTTTAACACTTATTTTACCAATATTGCTTCCAGTCTGCTAAATAATATACCAAAAACCTGTGATACCCCTTTAAATTTAATGTCAAATTATTGTTCACATCTATTGTCTCTTGGTCTAGTCAACATGTTCTGTTTTAATGAAGTATCTACAGCAGCAGTAAGAGAAGTTATCGATAAATTGAAAAATTCTAGTTCCAAAGATATTTTTGATTTGAATGTAGTCTTAATAAAAACTATCAAGGATATAATCATTACTCCTCTTACTAGGCTCATAAATTGTTGCATACGAGCCTCAGTGTTCCCTGATTGCTTAAAAACGGCCAGAATTATCCCCATACACAAAAAGGGTGACAGGAATGACCTGAACAACTACAGACCGATATCCATATTGCCTGTATTTTCCAAAATTTTTGAGAAAGTGTTGCATACGCAATTATATTCCTATTTTGAAAAAAATTATTTATTTTCGAATTTTCAATATGGATTTAGAAAGGAACGCAGCACAAAAAATGCTCTCCTTAAACTAGTCGAAACATTTAATAACTGTTTTGAAAATCGTGAGTTTGGAATTGCCAGCTTTCTGGACCTCAGTAAGGCTTTTGATTGCGTCCCCCATGGTATCTTACTCAACAAAATTCGTAAGTACAATATTAGTGATAATAGCTGTAATCTGATGGCATCATTTCTTGACAATCGCTATCAAATAGTATCATTGGGAAATATAAATTCTAAATGTCTAAAAGTTCATCATGGTGTGCCACAAGGTTCCGTCCTTGGACCACTGTTGTTCTTAATTTATATCAACGATTTTCCTGCATTCATGCAAAGTCAAATTTTACTTTTTGCCGATGATACTACTTTGATTAATACAGGATCCACTGTTGATGCCACTATTGATCAATGGAAGATGACGCAATCAAAAGCCTGCAGATGGTTCAATGCAAACTGCTTGACCTTAAATCAAGATAAAACAGTCAATATGTCATTTTCATTAAAAAAATCGATATGTGATGAATTTAATAAATCAGTCAAATTTTTAGGTCTGCATATTGACAGTACCCTCCAATGGAAAGATCACGAGGAACTAATTGCAAAAAAAATCAGCAAGGGTATATTTTTATTACGCAATCTATCTTGTAGAGTTCCAGCTGGTACACTACGTACTGCGTATTTTGCGTTATGCCACACGCATATTTCGTATGGATTATTGGTTTGGGGTCATTCGTGCATTCGAAATAGAATTTTTAAAATACAACGTAGAGCGATCAGGGTAATTGCAGGTCTCGGATATAGAGAAGACTGTCGACACCAGTTTGTTAGATTAAGTATTCTAACATTGCCAGCATTATATATTTATGAATGCTTAATATATGTAAAATATAATATTTCAAATTATAATGTTAGTTCGAACATACACTCTTACAATACAAGACACAATTCCGACCTATGTCTCAAAAAGATACGTTTGTGTAAATCACAAACTGGTGTCGACTATTATGGAATTAAATTTTTCAATAAATTGCCTAAGAATGTGCAGTGTTTGTCGTTTAAAACTTTTAAAAATATATTAAAGAAATTTTTAATAGAGAAGGCATTTTATAACTTTGAGGAATACCTGTGCAACAAGTATGATTTTAGTTGTTATATTTAGTTTTATTATTTGTATTTTTTACATGTTCATAGTCTGACTTATGCAAAAACTATATGTTACAAGCATCAATAAAATATTCTATTCTATTCTATTCTATTCTATTTTATTTATTTCCCTACTTCAAAGTTTCGTTTTTTGAGCTTTTTGAGTTTTGGATTTTTCTATTTTTTAAGCTTACGATTTTTCGACTTTTCGATGTTTGGACTCTCGGATTTTTTGATTTCTCGATTTTTCACTTTTTGTATTTTCGATTTCTTGCTAAACTTTAGATTTTTCAATTTTTCGACTGTTTTATAGTTCGATTCCTCAATTTATCAACTTTTCAATGTTTTAATTTTTCAATTTTTAAAATTCTAGGTTTCTCGAGTTTTCAGTTCTTCTATATTTAAATTTTTCAATTTTCCGAATTTTTAAATTATCGATTTTCCAACTTTTTTTAAATTTTTTAATTTTTCAGTTTTTTTATTTCTCGATTTATGGAATTCAGATGTTTCGATGTTTTGATTGTTCAATTTCTCGATTTATGGATTTTTCAATTTTTAACTTTTCTTCTCGGCTTTTCACTCCTTGATTTCTCGATCCTCTGATTTTTAGATTTTTTACTTTTGGGATTTTCAATTTTCGCTTTTCCAATTTTTCGATGTTTCGGTTTTGCGGTTAGCCGATTCTTCAATTTTTGAATTTTTTTAATTCTGAGGTTTCGATTTCTCGATTTGTCGATTTTTTAGTTTTTCGATAGATAGATTTTAGATTTTCGAATTTTAATTTTTTGATTTTTTTTGATGTTTGGATTTCTCCATTTTTCAATTTTGCCATATTTTAATTGTTCAATGTTTTAAGTTTTAAATTTTTTGATTTCTCGATTTTTGATTTTTCAGTTCTTTAATATTCGTATTTTTCAATTTTTCAAATTTCGACGTGCTAAATTTTCAGTTGTCCAGTTTCTCAATTAATCTATTTTTTGATTTCGCCACTTCAATTTTCGATTTTTCGACTTTGCTTTTTCGATTTCTCGGTGGTATAATTTTTTAATTTCTCTCTTTTTGAATATTTGTTTCAATTTTGGGATTTTTCAATATTTAGATTCTTCGATTTTTCGACTTCTGGCTTTTAGGATTTTTAAATTTTTTGGATTTTCATTTCTTCGTTTTTTAAACTTTATATTTTTCACTGTTTTATATTTCGATTTCTCAATTTTTCAACTTTTCGATATTTTAATTATTCAATTTTTAAAATTCTAGATTTTTAAATTTCTCAAGTTTCCAGTTCTTCTATAATTTAATTTTTCATTTTCCGAATTTTTAAATTTTCGATTTTTCAATTTTTTTATTTATTGAGATTCGGATGTTTCGATGCTTTGATTGTTCAGTCTCTCAATTTATCAATTTTTCCATTTTCAACTTTTCGACTTTTCGACTCCTCGATTTTTCGACCTTTTGATTTTTCGATTTTTCGATGTCTCAGTTTTTGAATTGTTCGATGTTTCGATTTCTCGATTTTCTACTTTTCGGCTTTGCGATTTTTCGATGTTTCGATTTTTGAATTCTCCAATTTTTCCCTTTTACAATTTTTTAAATTTTCGAGTTTCGTTTTCTTGATTTGTTGATTTTTCAGTTTTTCGGTTTTTAAATTTTAGATTTTCGAAGTTTTATATTTTTTATTTTTTGATGTTCCGATTTCTCCATTTTTCAATTTTACTATATTTTAATTTTTCAGTGTTTTAAATTTTAAATTTTTTGCTTTTTTAATTGTTCAAATTTTGACGTTTCTGAATTTTCAGTTTTCCGATTTCTCAATTAATTTCTGTTTTTTTTTGATTTTTCCATTTCTCGATTTCCCAAAGTTTCGATTTTTCAGTTCTTTAGTTCTTCAATTTTTCGATTTTTTTAATTTGCGATTTTTCGACTTTCCTTTTCGTTCAATTTGGGATTTTTCAGTTTTTTAAACTTTAGGTTTTTCAATTTTTCGACTGTTTTATACTTAGATTTCTCAAATTTTCAACTTTTCGATATTTTAACTTTGTTACATGTAAAAATCGAGTGAAATATGTGAGATGTGATATGATATTTGTAAATAGAAGCATCTAAATAAAAACTATTTTCCGCAGAAATTCTAAACGCTTAGAGTCGACATTAGCGTGAGCGCGCTCCGATCTGTGGATCAAATAAGTTCTCAGGCGACGATTTGCATCCACTGGTCGAAAGCTGAAAATTTTCTAGGATAATATTATATTTATGAGGATATCCTTGAAGGGAATACTCTCCAGTCTTGACTAAAAGTATAATTTTATTAATTTTACACGAACATGATTATCATATCATAAATTAAATCAAATTATTTTTGAAGTTCTGTTTTTAACTTTTAAAAACTGGGTACACGAAAAATTAGCATGTTAAGTCCGTGAAAAAAGTGTGTTTTCCATGGACGTGTAAAAATCATGTAATTCGCTAAAAATAGCTCAACATTATGAAAACAGTGTACTGTTTTATTTTAATATTTAGACGTCATCATGAAGAACTAAAATTTAACAAAATCTGCTTTTATCATTTGTCTGAAAAACTGGATTTTTTTATTGTGTGTCACGCACGAGGAATTTCGGTTTAAATAATTTTACATCTGCTCGAATTTTTACCTTTATTATGTAGATTTGTAGAAAGTAGGGATTTCCTTTTTGTGAAATTACGTAGCATTAATAAAAAACTTCCAGTAACTATGGCCATAAAACAAAGTCTCCAACCCTTTTGAGTTGATAATCAAGAGGTTCGAAGGAGAATTTATTACTTTAACTTAGCAAGTAGATCAAATTATTCATCCACGTCCCATTTTTAGTCCAACTGCTGGTCGCATCCCGGTCCGCAGTTGTGATTGTGTTCGTGCCGGTGTGCAACTATCTTAATCGCCAAAGTTTGTTCCTTAACATTATGTGCCTCTCCAAAATGAAAGTTTACTAACAAGAAGCATTCGAACAATGGTAACGCCCGTAATTGTTGCAGTCCCCATGGTTGAAGTTCATGGAGTCCTGGGTAAAAATAAGGGCCTTCCCTGTGATATTACGCCGAAGGACCGTGATGACGCCGTTGCCATGGTGCTGTGGTTTAAGGAAACCATCGCAGAACCCCTGTACAGGTTAGTGGATTAGGTTGTTGTTGGACGTTCCAAGTTTGCAGCGTCTGTCACTGTCTATAGTTGAGATCTTGCTAATGCACCGGCTGACCCTCTCAGCTGTCACAATCACAAAGTCCCTTTGAAAAACAGGCGGATAAATCAAACTTTGCGCGTTCCATAAAACGGTTTCATTCATCGCTGGCCGAAGTTTTATGATGCATTTATTCATAAGAGCCTTGATATTATTTGCTGTGTGGTCAAAGATACACATCGAGGATCGATGGATAAAGATTCTCGATAAAGGATTTGTGGCATTTTAGAAATGGGGTCCGGATTTTATGATGGTTTCACATGCTTAAGACTAGCTCATTGCATAATCTTTCTCTTTGACGGAGAAAGAAGTGTTTATAAAATTATTTTACGATGCAGTTGACGAAAGTTGTAGCTGTGATTACCGTCGTGGGTACGATTATGCAAACTTGGCAAATTTTCGTCAAGAATATTTTCATTACTTTGGTAATCTAAACTGCACAAACGTATTTTACACATTTGTAGAGTTGGCGAAGGAAACACTTCATACTCACTAATATTTCACAATCAAATAAATTTCGTTGTTTTTTTGCATAAGAGTCATAGTAATTTTGAAAAAAAAAAATACAGCTCTACATGATTTCTCACATTACCTTTTACAGAAAACTTACCACCTGTGCTTTTTTTGGTCTTTGTATTATTAGTACGCATATGAGGTTTATAATGTAAATAATGTGTTTCAAATTTACCAAAATGTTAATCGCCTCAGGACATGAGATATTGAATAAATAAAAAACTAACTATTTGCTTTTAATTTCAGAAAATTAAGTCGACAATTGTTTATTTAATCAAATATGTTTTTTATTGACGCTGCAAATATTAATCAACACTGTTGCATGTGTCTGTGCTTATTTAAAATAGCAAAATCAAAGATTGTGTTTAAAAACTATTACTACTAGTGTAGATATAAAGTAGTTCGTATGAGTGCAAACACTGAAAAAACGATAAAAAAACTGAAACTCCATTAATTGCTGAAACGATTGTACAGTAGTCTGTTTTTTACTGATTAAAAACCAATTGATTTTTTACTAGCCGGTCACCAATTAAGCTTAACTAAAACTAGATCATTAAAGCCCCTATTTTTGGAAGTGTAATTACCAATCTAAGACAATTTAATGCCGATACAGTGGATAAACTAGCCCTTCGTACGCCACCATAACATTAAACTGCTGCCTTAAGACAGGAAGAACAGACATTAAAGTTGAACATCATACTTCCTGCTAGTGGTATATCTGTTATCTTAGTTTGTGAACAAATACAAAGGTGTGTATTTTGTATACCTAAAATAAATAATATAGATAAGTAACTTTAACTTCCTCTAAATGCTAATCAAAAGTGACTCAAGAGTGACAATTTCGGCGTCAGCTTGCCACTGTTCTGAAGAATGTTTCCATTTTGTAATCAAGGACGAAATATGGATCCTTTATTACAATCCAAAACCAAAACAACATGATGGCTTCTTCAATCCAAATAAAGAAAGGACAAGTCTTCAAACCATATTTTTTTCTGGGTCTGTTTGTCTATCTTCATGATAGGAGAATATTGTTTATTCTATGCAATAACACAGATTATTGCACTCACATGTCACATGATGTCAACTGACCAATCAAACGCGTCAATATTTGTAAATTCAACCAATCAGCATACAATTACGTGATAATTGCACACTGTGCAATTACCACTACCGATAATTATCACTAGCCAGATGTGCCAACTATAAGATAAGCAAGTACCAGTTAATTGCAAAAAAAAACAAGAGGTTACTAACCAAATATTTAATTATGAAACTAAGAATTGTAATTAATTATGGTACAGTTGTAGTAATTTACAGGGGTTTGTGTGCTTGGTGAAGTAGTAACTATATTTTTAGACATTTGTACCAAAGCAGACGGTGCGCAATTTGTGGATTTGTTATTAGACTCTTCCATAGCCGTTGAGTTGGCGCGTAATTTGTCAATCATTTGATAATGATGATCTCCATCGAGCTGAAGGTATGGTTTGATGGAGAAAGTATTGGCATGACCGGTAATCTTTATAAGCTGTTCTTCACCGACTCCCGCTTTTGCAAGTTGCGACACTGCAGTTGACCGTAATGAATGATTACTAATCTTCTTTTTCTTTATGTCGATGCCTATTTCTTCTGCGGCGGTTCTTGTCCATTTCCCCATTTCATTCCTTCCAACGGGTGAATTTTTGAACCATCCTACAGAACTAGGTTCTCTCCATGCAGGATTTGGCGTTAAAAATAAACGATCGGTGGTTATATGTTTACCTCTCTTGCTCAGCATTTTTTTGTAGAGCCTTAAATAATAAAATAATTATTATTTTGTATTTGAAACAGTATTTAATTACCTAACAGGGCAAATTCTAGGATCTGTGGTGTTTGTTGCAAGCCATTTGCTGTCTGTTAATTTATGGCTACCTCCTTGAGCTGTTTTGGAAAAAATACAATTGTATTCTATTCGCCCCGTAGGCAAACCACAATTATCACTTTCTTCCTTAAAATGTTTGATAGTAACGTTAACACCTTCACATCCCCTCCAAGCTAATTCTAATCCAGCCACATAAAAAAACATTTTCTGTAAACCATCTGGCGTGTCTTCGTTATAAATCTTTAGAATCTTGTTGTATTCTTCTAGAGTCAAAATTGAGGAACTAGTTTTGCGTTTTTCCGGTTGTATTTGTAGGTTCCGGCGTTTTGCGTCGCGTGCATTTCTACTACCCTTGAATTCCAGGTCAACAAAAGGATCAAACTTTATACCAAATTTATTGAAATACAGTTCTTGCAACTGCTTTGCCGTTACATTCCACATCGTTTTTATTACTGCTTCTTTGTAGTCATTACCATCGACTTTTTTCATATTGTACCCCCAATCTTTGAGGATGAATGCTAGTTTTTCCGTGGAAGTGTTTCCATCAAAAACATATTTGCGTTCACCGCAAAACTTCTCAAATTGCCTCCAGATTGAATTTCGTGAGTTCTTCGTATTTAGCGGCGTAATGTTTGTAATAGAATCATCAATTTCTTTTGGCGTGTTACGACCAAAACGAAAATTGGACATGGTTTTTTAAACCCACACAAATTTTGCAAAATGGCTGTTCTTATTTACTTGCGTCGCCATAGTATCGCACACCAAACTACTTCGTAAATCATTATAAAATTATTTTTAAAATGTTTGTTCTTGCAATAATCTGTTGAATATATTGCGTGCATCACAATGAAATCGATAATTTTGAACAACAATAATCTCTCATGCTTGTTGCCTAAGAAAAATGCACTCGTGCTAAAGCACTCGTGCGTTTTCAATGCAACAAGCATTCGAGTTATTGTTGCTCAAAATTATCGATAACATTGCGATGCACTTAATATATTATAACTGATAATAATCTACATTTCCAGAGAAAATTACACATATTATCCATTCACGATCTTTATATAGTAAAGTAGGCTGTGATATGTTTTCTTTAAGTTGGATAAACTGATTTGATCATTTAGTTTTTGTCTATCAGTAGTCTGATTGACATTTGTTTTGAGCTGAATTGCCACTTTTCTACTTCATTTATTAGATCAGAATTATTAGACGCAATTTTTTAATCAAGCAAACAAATGTGTTAATTTTGTCAGCATAGATAATAATTTGTCACTGTGACAGATTCACAGATCATGGCGATATTATTTAAAAAGAAAATGCCTAAAATAGTTTTACTGCAACAAAAAATTGCAATAAAAGATATTTTTTGCAGTTTCCAAAAAACAGACAGGCCCGATCTTTCTTTCGAAGAAGTAACTATGAGGGTCTCGAACATATTTTCTGTAATGTAAAAGTACCCTGCAAAATGTTTTTTTTTTCATTGGTGGGAACATCAACTGTGGCGAAAATTTTATCAACAGGGGACCAAAATTTAAAAACATCACTATCTGGTAGCGACAACCAACGGATTTATTTACAAATTATATGTTTCGGAAAGACCTGCAACGACAAATTTCGCAACTTAATGAAAAAAACGAATATTTCACTGTAGATACTCTTTTGGCATATTCTAGGGAACAGTTGGAATTTAAATGGGGACGAATCACATTATACAAAATTCTTAAGTCAATGGGTTATAAACACAGAGAAGTAAATGGTAGCAAAATTCTATGTAAATAAAAACATGTCGTTGCAGCCAACATTTCCTTTTTGAGAACATATTTACAGTTTCTAAATTCTGGTGAAAATTTTACTTTCGTGTATTTGGATGAGACATGGATCTATCAAAATGGTTCGTCCATTCGTCGCTGGGTGCACGATACTGATCTAAAAAGCAATCTCACCAAAATTAAAAGTGAAGGAACAAGGTTTACTATTCTCCACGCGGGTTGTTCAACGGGGTTCTTGGATGGTTGTAACAATTTTTTAAATTCAAAAAATAACGATAGAGACTATCATAAAACCATGGACGGGACAGTTTTTCAAAATTTCATTCGAACGAATGATGGCTAGCGATACGGTTGTTGGTTCTGTCGATCCAGTTATTAAATGTGAATATTGTAGTAGTTCAGTTAAAAATCGTGTTACGTGTAAAAAGTGTAAAGCAGTTTTTCACCCTTCTTGTTATAATAGAGCTATAATGGTTAAAAACCCTTTTTGTGTACATGAAAAGGACACATTGTTTGAAGGTGACATTGAAATGGAATCTTCGAGAAATGAGTTTCTGCAACTTGTGAAAAAAACAATTGAAGAAGAAACACAATCCTTAAGGAATCAGGTCTACGAACTACAACAGCAAGTGAGAGATCTAACAGCATCAAACATTGATCTCATTCGTCTTTTAGAAGCACATTATCCTATAAAAATTCCTAATCAATCAATGGCGAAAAACAATTATCTGTTTGAGAACAATATCACACTGATAAAAACACCGGAGAAGAGAAGAATTGTTTCCGAAGT